ACCTTAATATTAACTTTAACGTGAAAACATTGGTGTTAAAAATTTTATATACAAAACTTATAAAAACTTAGAAAATTAACTATAAGTGCGTTTTATAATAATTGTTAAAGGATTAATTAAAACTAAGTTAAATCAGTTATTTGATATTTAATTTATAAAAAGATTATGAATGTAGAAATTATTGTTAAATTAGAAATTAAAATTATAAATAAATTTTACCTCCATCTATAGGGCCGGATATGAAAATCTATTTTGCTTCGCCAAACGTCCCGGAGCGTTGTTTTAGGGCACAATTTCCAGAGAGTTAAGAATTACTTTTGATGAATACAAACGATAATTATATTTTTTCTTAACTCTCTAGAAATTAGATGTCTCAAAATAACGCATCGAGGCAACAAAAAGCAGTTTACAAATAACAGGTAATTTTAAATTTTGTCATAAAACAATATCAAAAGTTATATATATTTTTCGTTTATTTTATTTATTTTTATTATAATGTAAATGCTTAATTTTTTAATGAAATGACTTTAATGTTCCTTTTTTCCAAAATAATTTGTTCATATTACAATACTTATAAAATATTTTCAACGATCGATATAGCAAATTAAGTAATCTTAAATTATTTTAGCTATTTATTAAACCAGTTATAGATGGCACCCATAACACTAAATCCAGTAGAAGATTCATTATTTGTTTGAGTGCTTTGTAATTCTGGCGTCTCTTCACCTTGAGAAGAAGGTGATCCAATATGTAATGGTGAAAAAGAAGATTCCCCATCTACATACATTTGCTCATCCTGTATTACGCCTCCATTTTGAGATTCATCACTATCACTACTTTCGTGTTCATCAGAACTTAATTCATCACTCTCTGAATCTTCTTCATCTGATTGATACATAACTTGCTCATTTCCAGAAATTTCTGGTGTGGGCAAAGATTCAGATACATAACCAGTGTCATAAGCTGATGACGTTTCTTCATTATCAATTCCTTGACCTAACGGTTTCTTCTTATTAAAGAATACTATGCGAGGTGCTTCAAAATTGTCACATGGATGATTAGAAACAAACTCCTG